CAAAAAGTACATACAGTCATTGCTTAGTGACTGCCTCATGTAGCGACTGTTCACAGTTACTACGGTGATGAAAAAGTAACTTTGCAACCAGTCCTTGCATTTACGACCTTTGCAGGTCTGTAAAACAAAGTGTTAATAAGCGCCATGCACTGTATTTGACGTGCTCCAAGGAGAAATGTACAATTAGTACATCAATTTCTGTCCTTAGTTTAAGAACTGTCATTAAGATACCTTTTCAAAAGCGATTACAGGTAGTCCTCATTTAACGACCGCAATTGGGACCAGCAACTCAGTCATTAAGCATAGTGGCAGTAAGTGAAACTGTGACTGTTGTTTATTATTTTACTTCAGCTTTCCTTTGTTTTACAGACTTGTGAAGGTTGTAAATGCGAGGACTGGTTGCAAAGTTATTTTTTCATCACTATGGTAACTGTGAACAGTCGCTAAATGAGGCAGTCACTAAGCGATGACTATGTGTACTTTTTTGGGGGTTTCTAATATTCAATTGTGGTTAATTCAGAATCCATCTTGAGCATGTGTTGATTACTTTTTAAATGTCCACCAAACTCTTTTTTTCAAACTGAGTTAAATTGGAGTATATAACATTTGTTAATATACAGATATGTTACAGAGATGGTAATTTTCTTACACAAAATTGCTTATTTGATTTCCTGTATAAAGTAAGAGTTATTTTCTTAGGTAGAGAAGCCTTATGAACAGGAGGAACTCCTAACCAAAATATTGTTAAAGTATTGTGTTATTGTAGGGTTGATTGTATATCATGACAAATAACAAATTGGGAGAATAACTCTGGAATTTTCATTGTAATAGTCATTTTTCAGTTTTGTGTTTATGTAACATCAGGCAATGCTGTCTTCCTAAAATATCGTATTGTAACATAAATCTGGAGTGTTATTTCTGTGGAAATAACGTTGAGGCTGTTTTTTTTCTTTAGCCGTCTTCTGTTATTTATGCGTGATGAATGGATTGTGTTTCCTTGGACAGTTCTCTTTAGCAATTGCATATAAGTAGAATCCTACGCTTAAAAACCATAATGTCTTTCAGGCATTGGCAAAATATAGGGAAGGTTCTTACATCGTACCAAGCTCTAATGTGGTTTACGTGGATTTGGCTGAACTTTTGGTGTGAAACCAGCTGTTATGGTTTGGGTTATAGCAGGGGTGGGCAACCGGCAACCCCCATTTCTTTTAATCTATGCTCATTTTAAAAATAGCTAATATACTTCAGTTCAATTGCAATTCAATTCAGTTCATTTTTACTTGGTAAGCAGTCACTCAGAATAATAATTTGTGAAAGATATTTCAGAGCAATATGAGTTTCCATCTTCCTGGCTTTGTCTTAGGCAGAATGCTTTTTTAAAACAAGTTAGGAAGCAAGAGAGTCCTCAGCCAGGTTGGCATCCACTGGCACCATTTTGCTTGTACCTCATGCCTGTTTTGTTATTAATGACTTGTTTTTCTTCTTCCTACAGGAAATTTGGTGAGCGACCTCCACCTAAGCGGCTCACCAGGTAGGGTTCAGATCTTATGTTACCTTGAGCGGTTGCCCCTCTGGCAAGACAAGGGATCTCATTGAAGAAATCAGAGCTGGGATAGCAGGCAGTCTGTTCTGAGGGCTTTTAAGCTCAATTCTGTCATTCTCTGTACAGGAGTAAGCACTTCACCTGCACCTTCACAAAGCTGCTAAGATTACTACTTACTTTGACCCTCCATGGAAAACATGGAGACCAGCATCTTTCTGCCTGTTACTACAAAGGGAATGTGCCTCACTTGGTGATGGTACCCATGTCCAGTTCCTTGCACATATTTATTTATATTAACTGCTTAATTTTATCAGCTTGAGGAAGATGGGGAAAATGTTTAGACCTAGCTGCAGCCGCCTTATTAGGCAGAATTAGTTCCGTTCTTCATATATGATCACCTATTATGGCTTGGGTTAGAAGTCCAGGCCTCTAGGAAGGATAAGGAAACACTCAACCCTTCAGGCCACTGCTATTGTCTGGGGTACCTGTGCAGGCAGTTATTTTTCTTGGGAAGAAGGAATAAGTCAAAAACTAAGTTAAGCATCATGGTCCTCCTTTCTCATCTCTCAATTCCAAAAGTGGCCAGTTAACTAAATTCTGTCATGCATTCTTCCTCAGCCCAGTTACATCCCCTTGGGAATGTCCCCAAGGGAAAAAAAATCATCCCCTTGTGTAACTTCTTCCTCAGGTCAACCTTGACTGCGACAGGGGTGGGGTGAGATGGCAAGATGGTGGTGGGAATTAGGAGCAGAGGGAGCCCCAGCAACTGTGTGGGGAAACTTTGGCAGGCCCCATAAGAGAGATGTAGCTTGCATGCAGTTCAGACACATGGAAATGTCAGCCTTTGGAGTGCTTTAAAAATACATATATAAATTGGGTTTCTATTAACTTTGAATGCCCTTTTCAATTCTTAGGGAAGCTATGAGGAACTATTTAAAGGAGCGTGGTGATCAAACAGTCCTAATACTTCATGCAAAAGTTGCTCAGAAATCCTATGGAAACGAAAAGAGGTAATGATGGATGTCTTGAATTGTGCACCGTGCTATTTTGCAATTGAAAAGAAAATTCTATGCATAGAACAGCTTTAAACAATCTTTTGCTGCTTGGATGTGATGGTTTGTAACTCCCAGAATTCCTGGCTTGGGAGCTTGAAGGGCAGAGGGTGTATATTAGGAGGTCATGGGATTAGAAAGAATGGTGCAACATTTCTGGATTTTGTGTTCTAGAAATTTAAAATATACTCTCTGGTTTGTTTTGTTTTGTTTCATTTCTGAAGTATTGGTTGACAGACTGTAGTTAAAAAAAAACACTGAAAAGTATCAGTTCAGGATCCATAGGATTTTACAGTGTTAAGTTCTGAATTATTTTAAATGGTCTTCGTCATATTCATGCTTTGTGTGGAGCTCCATCTAGTGACCATTTAAAGTAAGTTAAGTTCTTACCATGCCTACATTCCTCAGTCAACCAAATGAATAGCAACAAAATAGATCATTAAAACAAAAACAAACAAACAAACAGAGAATGTGAATAACCCTAAACAAAAACTGGCTTAGAGATTATTCTGGGGAAAATGCTTCAGTTGTTGTACTTCAGATTAAAGTCTTACTCTCATTCTTTCAAACTGATACCAGTTTCCCCTCATTCCTGTAGCTTAAAAATCTCCAAATCCAAGGTATACAATAATAATCTAACTTTTCATAAGGTAGTACAAACATTCTAGGGGGATGTATGTTTTAAATACAACTTTTAGGTATGAGCCAGGAAATTTTAAAATATTTTGAAGTCCAACTGTTTTTCAGTGGAGAAAATTTGCATATTTGGTTTCTTCTGTGGAGTCCTTGATGCCCTCTGAGCTCGGCTGTTTGCTTGCAGACATTTCATTACGCGACTAGGGAACATCATCAGTGCGAGTGAATGGGGGGTTTGCTCCCTGTTTGTATACAGTAGCTTGTCCTGACAGTGTTGCGGGGGGCTGTAGTTTTCTCCTTGGTAGTTCCTTGATTAGGGTATTGTTTTCTGCTGTTGGTTTCTTTTAAGTTCCCTGGAGTTTGGCTTTGGTTGAACGGTATTCAAAATTTATTAGCTCTGTGACATTGCATTATGAAGCCACAGCTGTACATACTAGGTTTGTTCTGTGGATAGAGTTAAAAACCATTAAACATTTTAATTTTTAAAATAGCACATTTCTACCCTTGAAGGCCCAGTCCTAACTAAAGATGTATGTGGAGTTACAAGACACTTCCTTCTCACTAATTCCAAGTCCACCAGAAGAGAAATCTTATTTATTAGAGATGCCAGCAAAAATGCCAGATAAAACCAGATCCCAAATCTGATTGGATGTGGGGCAATCCTAAATAAGGCTAGGATTTGGAGAAGCTGTAAGGATATTTCTGACTTTGGGAATCCAGTTAAGCTCCATCCCCCCTAGGGTGGGATTAGCTTAGTTGCAAAATCCCCTTTAGCTCAGATTATGTAGTTGGTGTGTATTACGTAGGTTGGTGCAGTTTCCTTAAGAAATGGCATTTGGCACAAGGTGCATGTGACTTGGTACTTAAGGGGAATGCATGTTCCTAAGGGGAATGTACACCTAACATTCTGATCTTCATCTTCAGATTTTTTTGCCCCCCTCCATGTGTCTATCTTATGGGTAGTGGATGGAAGAAAAAAAAAGAACAAATGGAGCGAGATGGCTGTTCTGAACAAGAATCACAACCATGCGCCTTTATTGGGATCGGAAATAGTGACCAAGAAATGCAGCAGTTAAACTTGGAAGGAAAGGTTGGTTGAATGCAACTTACATTTTGTGAACATGTTTACCGATCTCTCATAGTCAGTGTTAGTAATAAATCAGTTCAAGGGGTGAATGTACTCAATTTGGATCTTCTCTGTTCACTTGTAGTGACTGAGTATCTCATGGTCTTTATCCTATTTTTATACAAAAGCTAATAATTAGATCGTCTCATAGTCTTCTGTCTTGTTTTTATACTACAGGTGGTCCTCGTTTAGTGACTGCAATTGGACAGGGAACTCAATCTTTAAGCAAAGTGGTCACTAAGTGAAAAATCACACGACCACAACTGTGCTTATGATTTTACTTCAGCTTTCCTTTGCTTTGCAGCATCAGAAGGATACAGCTGGGTGAGCCCAAATGGTGGGGAAGGTTTCCAGAACTTGACTCACAAGGAAGCCAGGTAAAAGGGCAAATCTTGCAGCCCTTTTTCCCCACTTCCCCGCCCTTTGGAGTGCTCACCCCTGCGCTGGGGTAATTAGCAAGAAGAGAATCGATGTTCGTATTTACATTCATTGGAGAGGAAGGGATTACAAGCGAGTAAGCAGGCACACAATGGGGAATACACATTGAAAGGAATGCGCCAGTGCCGGCTGTTTGCCTAGCAAGCTGGCAGTGAGCTGCTTAGAAGGCAAACAAAAGCCATTAGCATGAAACTGATCAGCATCTTGTCAGTGTCAGGCAGCAGGGCCAGCAGCCCCAGGGTTTTAATCAGCTAAGGTCACAGAGCTGAGCTTGTTAACTTGCAGTTAGCACTTTTTAGGGATGTGCTGCGCTCCGGAGAAAAGCAGATCTGGAAGACATAGCTTGTTTAGGCAACCTCTGTGCTCTGTGGCGGGGGAGGGGGGGAAGAAAAACAGGTCAAGCACAGGACAGTGTTATTAACTGACTGTAATGGCGAATACGTGACAGAGATGTTGTAAATGCGGGCATTGGTTGCAAAGTTACTTTTTTATCACCATTGTAACTGCGAACAGTTGCTTTCTGAGGCAGTTGGTAAACAAGGACTACCTGTATATATGTACTGAACTTTCTTTGCTAAATACTATATATACTTCGTGGTGGTGTTGATAAATGTGCAAAAATTCTGGATAATAAGAAAAAAAATACTTATTACTTCCCTTGCTTTCCCTCACTAAAAGGGAGGTGGATTACTTTTGCTCCTAAATATCCTGTCTGAAATTATTTTCTGATATTGTAGGCTTGGTTTTTCTCAGCAAAAGGGAATTTCCTTGCCTGTTTATCAGAGAAAATGAAGCGATCAAATAGTTTTGTGATAAGAGACTGTTCCCTCTTTTGCTGGGATTATTAATGCATTGCAGTATAGAGAGAGTTCTTGATCTAATATGATTCCAGGCCTTTCCTAATACTCCCTTTTTCATCACTGACGATGATGAATTGGTCTGTTAACGTGGTAGGCATGTTAGCATACCACAGTACACCAGCACTATTGGTTTATCCTGGTTGACTGTGAACAAATAACTTGATGCTTGCATTAAGAATATTTGCTTCTGCTTCACACAAAAAGTTAATCGAACAAGAAATGCCTAAAGAATGTCAATAATATTTAATTGTATTATATAAACATCACTGTATTGAAATAATGCAATGTATCAAGATTTATAACAACACAATAAAAAAGAAAAAAGAAAGAAATGCCTAAAGTTCTGAATCCTGGCTGATTGTTCCTAAGCAAGCTGAAAATGTTAAGTCAGTATTTCTCAACCGTGGCAACTTGAAGATGTGTGGACTTCAGCTCCCAGAATTCCCCAGCCAGCAAGGGAATTCTGGGAGTTGAAGTCCACACACCTTCAAGTTGCCACGGTTGAGAAACATTGTGCTAAGTCATCAAGTTTAGATGGTGGAATCTTGTCTTATTTTGAAGAAACCAACTAAAGCTCTGGCTTTAAATGACAGAATAAGCAATATGTTTCCATTTAATTTTTCCCCTTACAGAAGAAGAGTAAAGCAGGAATTAGTATACCAGCTCCTCATAGCAGAGTCATTATCTTCTCAAAAATACTTGATGCTGATCTAGTTCATTCATTTTCTCCCTGTGAAGAGGGGGAGGTAGGGACATACACATACTTGCAATTCTCACCCTGCCGGTAATTTTTCTCTGAAATGCAATGAATTGGAACCATACACAGTTTGATGATTCAAATTTGTTGTAATTTTACCACTGAAAACTTCCGATTAGTATATCTAGGCATGATTACCTTTAACAGGGCTTCAGTGGGAAATATTCAATTATTGTCTGTCCTTGTCCACAGAACTATTGCACAGCTAAAACTTTGTACATATCCGACTCTGACAAACGAAAGCACTTCATGTTATCCGTGAAAATGTTCTATGGCAACAGCGACGATATTGGTGTGTTCCTTAGTAAACGGATCAAAGTAATCTCTAAGCCTTCTAAAAAGAAACAGTCGCTCAAAAATGCAGACCGTAAGTATTGGGCAAACGAGCTTCGTTGACTGTCGTCTGTGTTTCATATACGTGCTGTGATTC